CAAGTACTTGTGGTTTGTGTTGTAGGTGGTAGTAGTGATGGAAAAACTACTTTGCAAAGATAATGGATGTTTTTCAGATTCTAAGACTAGGCTCTTTTTTTAACTCCGGATCAACGTGGTGCCTGAGTTTTAAGGGTAACAACTACATGTAGAGAGATTTGTCTCTGGAGAAAAGTAAAGTCCAAATTGATAATATTTGAAATCCTGAATATTTTCAAATGAAAATTACAGTGCCATACTGTACGTTCTTACTTGGATTATTGTCCCAGCAAACTGGATTATTGTCCCAGCAAACCGGATTCATTTAAACTTTTGTGTGCATCAATTAACATGCAAAATTTAAATGTCTTTAAAATCTTTAATTTGCAAAATAGAGGGCATTTGGGATTCTGGGACAAGTGCATAGATTTGTTCTAAGCCATGAGTTTTAAAGCATTACAATTGGAAAATCATGACATTAACAATTACTGTATAATTTCATTGGTAAACCAATTAAAACATCCAAAATGTGGACACTATAAGCATAAAAGATGGCAATGTGTTCGCTAGGGAAAGATGAAACAGTTAACCAGCCAGGTACTGACTGCCATCTAGCTGGAACTGAATTCTTAATATAGGAAGACAAATATCTTAGTACATCAAAGACCTGATTGATAACTCCCATGATTTGAATGTAGTAACTGAATAATACAGTTTGATCAAGAGGAATAGAATAAATACAAGTGTTGAATGATTGTATTGGAATTTTAAAAATAAAGCTAATATAATGATTGATTCAAAATAAAGAAAACTACTCAGTGAAAATGGCAAAACGCTAACTAGGAGCAAAAAATTCATTTGGATTCCTGCACAAGGATGGTAGTTTGGACTTCAGTCTAAATGTCTTCCTCTAAATGTATATGATGCAAATCCTATCCTGGTACTCCTACAACAGGCTACTACATCTAATAGTGTGGTAGATATTCTCTTATCATCATAGTGACAGTGAGGTTTAATGGGCAATCCAGTCTATATATAAAAGGGGTAAAATCTTAGTTTTTTTTAATTTCAGGCAACAACATATCTTCATCTATTAAAACGATTGCATGTGCACTGAGAGGATGATGCTATCAAGTTATTTTTCTCAAGTCTACAAGACTCTGAAGTCTGTTGGTTTGCAATGGACAAAAAGGGCCATTTAAGTTAGCTGTATTGTCTATTCATTTGATATACAGGTAGTCCTTGACATTTAATCATTTATTTAGTACCATTCAAGGTTACTGTGACACTGAAAAAAATGGCCTATGACCAGTACCCACACTTATGGTTGCTGCAGCACCCCCACATTCATATGATCAGAATTTGGATGCTTGGCAATTGTCATATATTTATGATAGTTGCAATGTCCTGGGGTCATGTGAACCCCATTAGCAGCCTTCCCGTCAGCTTCCAACGAGCAAAGTCAATGGGAGAAACAATTTGTTTAACAACTGCATGCTTCACTTAACAATTGCCTTGCTTAGCAACAGAAAGTTTGGTTCCAATTGTGATTGTAAGTAGAGGGCTACCTGTACAGTTTACCTTACTACTGCTACTTTTCAACTCAGTTTGGTACTTTACCACTATGAACATTGTTGATCCTAGTATCATATTCTGAACCTCTCAAACACTGCAAAATTAGCAGACATTGGACATTTCTTTCATGCATTTCTCTCATCAAACAAGCCAAAGGGCTTTGTTAAAATTACATTTTGGCAACCACACTAATTAGTTTTCTTCCTATGGGATTAAAAGTGGCAGACTGAGGTTCATGATAAATTATCATGTATAAAGGAAGTGTAAACATGCTCATTCAATTACCTCTGATGCATGCACTGTCCTATTCATTTAGTGTCTAGAAACCAAATAGACCTCATTGTTCCAAATCGAACACAATGAGAATTTTGGAAGGTTGCAATCTGCTGAATCAACATTGACGTTTTTGTCATTCTATCACCAATCAGAAAACAGATTTTAAAAATCTAGGAAAACAAAGAGCATAGAAGTATAGATAAAACCTAGAAAATAATAATCAACTCCTACTGCACATCTCAAAACATAATATAAAATTTGATATAGTATTAAAATGTTGGACTCAAAACTAACAGATTATGAGTTCCGTTCCTTCCTTTGGCATTGAAACCAGCTAGTGACTTTGGATCAGTCACTCTCAGCCCAACCCATCTAACAGGATTGTTGTGAGGAAAATAGAAGGAGTCAGCATTATGTACACTGCAAAAAAAATTAAGGTAAAATACAAATCAAATAAATAAAATACAGCCAATAGATGGATAATATAACCTAACAAATACATATGTTCATTTATTTAGAGTATATTAAACCTACTTTAATGGCTTGTAGTGACTTATAGAAATACAGTTAAAGCATTATTAAAATATTATTGAACTAAAACAATGTATATTTTCAAATAATTAAATTGTTTTGAAAGTTAAACAGTTAAAACAAAAGGCCTGGATTAACATATGTTTCAAGACAATTACTAAACTCTAATAAGGAAGGGACTTGTTCCAACTCCAATGCCAGTTTGTTCCACAGTATGACCTACATAATGAATCAAGCAGAATTAACAACTGATGTCAGATGTATCCAAGGGAAGGGTCAGCAAAATGTGTTCCATTGAACTAAAGGTGCAGAGTGGACACTATGAGATTGGGTGGTCTGGTACCCATGAAAAACCTATTATGAACAACTTGAAATAGGCTTCACACTCAACTAGCAACATAGGAAGGCCTTCAGGAAGCATCACTCATAATCCATACTGTTGCATTCTGGGTTAGCTGCCATTTCTGAATTTCAAGAGCTGTTGCTGTCCCACAAAGAACACACTACTGTATAATAACCCAACCTTCAAGTTATCACTGCATAAGCCGCCGAAGTTAGGTTTCTTTCCTTCAGAATGGATGTAGTTAAAGAGCAGAACCTAATAAATGATCCTCCTTGCTACTTATGAGGCTGTCCAGCATTAAAGATGGATCCCAAACTACCCACCAAATGTAAACCTGATCATTAAGAAGGAATGCATCCCATCCAGAATAGGCATTTCTTTTCAATTCTGAAGTTTAGCCCTTTCAATCAATAACAATTTGTCTTATCTGCACTGAGTGTCAGTTTATTTTTCCATATCTAGTCCCTTACTGTCTGGACGCAATCAGAAGTCTTGTGGCATCTAATCCAGAGCCTGTACGAAAGAAATATAACTGACATCATCAGCATATTAATAACAACCTTCCCAGTGGCTTCATACCGATGTTAAATAACATGGGAAACCAGATGCAAACTAAACCAATCCATATGTACCTCAACTGAACTACTAAACCAAGCGTATTTATCCACAGTCCATAGGTATATTTGCAGGTCATGTACACGATACTACCTGGCTTTTGCCCCAACTTCATTTATTTCTCCCATCAATGTTCATCCAGAGATGGTTTATAATATGACCTGCAAGCAGTCCTAGGCTTTCGGTCAGGAATAGCCTAATTATCTATACTAATATCCATATCACTTCCTGGTAAAAAAGAGAAAGCCATTTCCCTGAGACTCAAAGGAGTAACTTCCAAGACCAGCTCCCTTGGATAGCTGGATATCTAAAGCGAACAGAGAGTGGGATACTATATGCCCTAAGCCTAGAGCCTCTAAATATCCATCCGTCTTTGGAAAGGTGTTCAGAGCAGGTGCCAAAAATATCCAAGGTATGCTGATGCAATGTAGGCTGTTGGTGGTGATAGAGCTGTAACAAAGGAGGTAGAACTCCTGGTGCTGAAAGACCTCCTTGAAAACTGCCATAAACCTTCTTGCCAGGTGGCATAAATTTTGAGGAGAAACTTTTTAAAGATGTTCTAATATGCCAGACTTCATTCTTGTAAATGTCCATTTTTCATTTTGATCATGGCATAGATCATTGATTTTGATAAAACTGGATTCAATTGTGGACCATGAAAACAGCACCACTACACTAAATGGACCAAAGCCTGATGCAGATTTTTTTTGTTCCTAAAATAAAATGCAAACAAGATATGACAAAGTATTAAAGAGAAATGCATTACTTTGATATATTATTTAAATATAGTGACATACAGATGCTCTATTAGGTAGCCCTCAATTTATGACCATTTGATTAGTGGCTGTTAAAACTCACAGTGGCATTTAAAAAAGTAAAAAAGGACCAGTCCTCGCACTTATGATATCACAGGTCCCTGCAGTCACATGATCACAATTTTAGTGCTTGGTAACAGCAAGTATTTACAATGTTTGCTGGGTCCTGGGATCATGTCATCACCATTTGCAACTTTCCCAGTTGGCTACCAACAACCAAAGTCAAAGGGGAAGCTGGATTTGCTTAACGATCATGCAAATCACTTAATAGCTGTGATGACTCACTTAATGACTGTCTTAGTTGGCAATGGAAATTACAGTGATTGTAAAAGCAGATGCAATTTTATCCATTTAGTATAGCTATCTTTTCACAATAGTAACTCTCAATTAGTGCTGATAATGAATTCTCCCAAAATAACTGCATATTCATATTTACACTACTGATACAACAACAACAACAACAACAACAACAATAATAATTGTAATAATAATAGAGTTGGAAGGGACCTTGGAGGTCTTATAGTCCAACCCACTGCTCAGGCAAGAAACCCTATACCATTTCAGACAAATGGTTGTCCAGTCTCTTCTTAAAAACCTCCAGTGCTGGAGCATTCACATCTTCTGGAGGAAAGTTGTTCCACTGATTAATTGTTCTAACTGTCAGGAAATTTCTCCCTATTCTAGGTTGTTTCTCTTTGATTAGTTTCCATCCGTTGCTTCTTGTCCTGCCCTCAGTTGCTTTGGAGAATAGCTCGACTCCCTCTTCTTTGTGGCAACCCTTGGGATATTGGAACACTGCTATCATGTCACCCCCAACCTAGTCCTTCTTTTCATTAAACTAGGCATATCCAATTCCAGCAACCATGACTTATATGTTTTAGCCTCCAGTCCCCTAATCATCTTTGTTGCTCTTTGTTGATTGATTTGTTTGATTTGATTTATATTCCACCTTTATTTTGTACAATTCAGGGTGGCATACATAATGCTCCTACCTGTTTCCCACAACAAGAATCATACTGGTATGAATTGAGCTGAACTGAAAGAGAGAAACTGGCCCAAAGTCACCCAGCCATTTCTGAGTCTAAGGGAGGACTAGAACTCATGATCTCCTGGTTACTAGTGGTTTACCACTGTCTCCTTCAAGGATATTTTTTTCAGTTTCCAGTCTAGTCTACTGGAATACTTTAAGGGTCTCCCATCCAAGTACTTACTCAATGGTTAGCTTTCAGAAGTGGTCTGCCTTTGTCTGAAGGTTAGAGAAAGTGACTGGTCCAAGGTCGCCCAGATGGCTCTGGGTCTAAGGTAGAACTAGAACTCAAGGTCTCCCAGTTTCTAGACTGGTACCTTAACTATTATTTCAAATTGGTTCTAATAGTTACTATACCATAGCTGGGCCTAATAGTTATTCTTGATATGAATAATGCTTATAGCATCTGTTTGATCATTTCTATGGAAAATTAGGTAATTGGTTCTAGCTCTACAGAAACAATAAAATTTTTAAACATACATTTTGATATGTTTGTTAATGAAACACAAGAGTAAAAGATTAAAAGAATAGATGGTAATGCAGGAAGTGGCAGCAAGATTGTTACCTAGACCATCCTTCTGCTTTTTTACATGGTTTTGGTGTTTTTTTTAAATATTTATTGCTTTTTATTACTTTCTAATGTGTGTGTGTAATAAAAAGTAAAATAGAAATATAACAAATTATATCAGTCAACTTGTAGAATCCAACAGATATCCAATAAATATTCAGTAACTTCTGTTACTTTTTATGTTTATGACTACATCTGAAAGTACATGCTATGTACTTTGTACAGTATTCACTAATGTTTGCATGGCATGTATTTTCTAATCAAACACAAAAGCTGTTTGTTTTGGATTAACTGTTTTCTGCAAACTTGCCTCCAGTTTATATGCTCCATACTTCCCATCTGGCTGGCTGGTATGTTGCAAATGTTTAGAAGATTAAACAATTACTAGCTGCATCACCCACATGGGCCACCTGATGCAATAGCTATTTAAGATAATTAAAGAACCTGCAATATTTGTTTTGTTTTTCTTTTACCAGGAAATAAACTAGTTTTCAAAACATAAATCATAATGGTTACCATACCCGAGCACTGCAAATCAAGTCACCAAACAACCAAGTAAATGAGTAACTGTTTAATACAATAGTGCTATTGTCTGTGTCAAGGCCAAATGGCATCCCACCACGGACACACAGTGCCCGTTATCAAAATATTATAGGAAAAAAAATTACAAAAGAGAAGTAATAATAAAAGGTACTATTGGCCTTGTCAAACATAAATTTTAGGGGCTCCCTAAGTGTCCTTTGTTGAGGACTGCACTGCCCACCTGCAGGTCAGCCCCAAATATTATCTGAGGCCTTGTTTTTTTAATTGCATTCACCACCATGGCAGCCATACTAAGAAAGACGTTTGACACTTCGGGATGTGCCCTTCCTGGCTGAGGAAATACAGGCCCACATATCTGGCGGAAAGTTGGTTGTAAATATGGATGCTTTTAGCACACTTAAGTGATGGTTACTTCAGATGATTTGCGACATTGTGAAAAAGCGGCGAAGAGTTGTTGAAAACGATCACTATCGTGTCAAAAAGGATTTGGAGAGTGTGCATCCCTGGAATCAACAATGACGGCAAGTTGGCGGGGGGGGGGGAGGCTGCCTTCAGCCCATTTAGCAGAATCGCCGCGGGTGGCTGCCATTAACTCCCTCGCTCTCCTGCTGTCCCGGCTCTGGCCCGCTGCAGATGCGCCTGCGCCCCTCACCAAGACCAGGCATGCCAAAAGTCTGAGAGGAGGCATGTTGGAAACTACCCCTCACTGAGCCGTTCTTATGGCAACCGAGCTGGAGCGATAAACACTCTCCCGCGCGAGCGTCCGAGGGGTGAGTTTCTCTGCCAGCGCAACGCGGGAGGGGAGGTGTGTGCTTTGCTTGGGCTTTTTCCCTGTCCAAAGAGGAACCACCTGTGCGTATTCCTTTCTAGCAGGAAGAGGAGAGCGGATTCGCCGGGGGTCTCACCTGCGGCCACAGCCGAGAAGACTCACCTGGGTGCCTGGCGCCCTTGGGACCTGTGCGCCCCGGTGCCGGTGCTAACCACGCCATGGGGTGCTCGAGTAGCGCTCAGACTAAAGTCAAGGAGTTCGACCGACAAACTCCCAAATCCCCGGAGGCCAACGGATTGCCCCAGTGCGGTGAGTTCTCGGCGGTTTTTAACGTGCGCCAAAGCGGAGGACTCGCCCTCGCAAGAGGTATCACTTCAATAAACGGGGTTTGGGGAAAAAGGCTGTAAGACATTCAAGGCTGGGGAAAAAAACTGGCTGATAAGAGAGCTAAATCAACGCGGAGAAGGAGTAACAATTTTAGGAAAGGCAGCTTTTTCTTTTTTCACGTCTGCATCTGAAGAGCGGCTTAAGTTGTCTTTATTACTTTAGGACAGCCTGTACTTTGACAGCTGTATGCAACAAATCTCATTTTAATGTATGCTGATTACTGTACATTTAAAGTGACAAAGCTATTCTATTCTATTCTATTCTATTCTATTCTATGCCCTGCCCTAGTTGACTTCCCCTTTGTGTATCCCATTCCATTATCTGAGGGCAGGTCATTTCCAGCCCCTCACTGCAAAGGTTAGGTCATACAAATGGTATGCAAAGGTCATACCATTGTCCATTCTCTATGGCACTTAGAAGAAATCAAAAGAGGAAACCACTTAATTGTTCATTATGGATTGACCTAGTCATAAAATTCTATTCTAGAAACAGGCAGTAGATCCTGGGGAATAAATTCTCACTTTGTTTAATGATTCTATTTTAACAAATTAACATAGGACCGTTGTCCTTATTTATAACTAATGATGTTATAAATACATTATAAATAATGATGTATTGCTCTCTTGGCAAGTTGGTTTGTCCCTAATGCTTATTTTCAGCATTTTCTGACAAATTAAGAAAAACAGTGGTTGAACTGGAACTGCTAAAATTCTGAGATGAATTGTACTGAAACTAATGAGGATTATGCATAAGTTTTAAAGAAAGCTATGTAAAGATATGCTTTCTTGAAAATCAACTCATGTAGAAAATGTTGATAACAATTGCATTTTTGTGTACCCTTTGATGTGATAAATTCTAAATATGGTAAACCTTATTTCTGACTAATTTTAAGGTTGTATTTTAAAATAAACATTCTCTATTTTTGTAATTTAAAGTCTTAAATCAGTTTTCTCATTTCAGTTTTTGAGGAACTATACTACTGCTAATATATGACAATTTTAGAAAAGTTTTTAAATGATATTCTAACTCTTCTGAATTATCTCTCAATCCATTTGACATGCTTTGATAATATATTACATGAAAGGCCGGCCAGTGTTACATACAATATATGATGCTAGGTCTAACCATATTTTTATAATTATACTGTCAGGAAAGCAGCATTGAAATGTGAAGGAAAATCTGCTAAAATCTGGTGCAGTTTTTTAATGCTGATCTCAGAATGGTGGCTACGCTACAAACGACTCTGGGTAGCTTACAAGCCAGTAATCATTAAAATGATAAATAACAATAATAATAGTATCTGAAGTAGTATATATATTTATTCAGGATAATATAATTTACAAATATTGCAGAAAATAAACCTGTTCACATGGGACCTGCAATAAAATGTTGGATTATGAAGTGATTTTGATCAGCTTTCAGATACTTTAAGCATCTCTTCTCTTAAGATACTGCATTCTATTTCTTTTACTATTTGGATTTCTACCCGCAGCAGGTAATAATTTATATGTATGAAAATGTTTTTTAGGTTGCTTTTTTGACCTTCCCTTTCAAGGATTTTTTCCCCCTGATTTTGTATATGTGTGTATATTGTGGAAAACGTAAGATTCCTCCATCATATCCCATCACAGTGAAAGGACTCCTGGTAGTTAGCACGATATAAAGAAAAGCAACTGTAAGCAGATATAAAAAGTAAATAACAGTGAAATCAAAAATAAAAAGTGCAGATGGCTGAATATTGTACAATGCCCTCTGGAACACTTTCAGCATTTTTCTGAACATAGAAAGAGGGTCAGCCTGATCTCCACAGAAGGAGCGGGCCTTAGCTCATTTACCTACATGTAAGCACAGTGATGTACATGTATTTAAAATATATACAGTTCTGTCCATATTATTTCTCAGTGATTAGTTATTGCAAAGCAACATGTAGTACTTTAAAGAATAATTGTTTCATAAGTTATAATAAATCATATGGGTGGGATGAGAGGTGAGTAAATAGCAAATTCAGAAAGAAATAAAATGCAAAACAGTCATAAAAAATAAGCCCATGATTAAAAGTGGGCGCAAATATTTATATCTGTTTCTCTCTCTTTCTTCTTTAAAACACACATTTGATGAACATTGGGAAATCAGATGACAGCTTGCCTATCACAGATAAAAATGACACAGGATCTGACCAGACTAAACTTGAATCTCTGGAGGAGGTGAAGCTTGGATCTTGGAAAAAAACAGATGAGGATCTCCATAAAGAGGAGCCTGATGCTTTGATTCAGGAAATAACAAAATGTGACCTTTCTACCTGTCACAGAGTAGATCCCGAGGGTACAGAGCCTCAGCTAATGGCACCAGAAGAAACGTTTGACAGAAGTCAATGCTTATCTTTAGACTTCCTTGAAGCTGGTGGACCTCAGGCTGTGGAGTCAACAGAGTTGGCTAGCAATCCTCAAGTTGCTACAGAAGCTGCTGGTTCTTCACCTTCAGAACCTCTCCAGGATAAGAAGCCTGAACCTACTGAAACCTCAGAAAGTGGCACCCCTGAGCCTTCAAAAGAGGAAATCCAATGTTTTGTAACAGAAATTGTGACGGAACTGCTTATGGATGAAGAGGAACATCTAACAGAGGGTAATAAATATTCTCTTGCAATTTCAAGGGACAAGTTCTGCCACACATGCTCAAACAATTATTTTGACAAGCAAATAGCAATAGCACTTACACGTATATACCGCTTCACAGTGCTTTACCACCTTCTCTAAGTAGTTTACAGAGTCAGCATATCGCCCCTAACAAACTGGGTCCTCTGCCTGGAAGCAGAAACGTTTGCTCAGTGAATGTGAGCAAGTATTTGAGTATTTGAAAGTAATAACAGTAATTTATCCTGGAAAAGTAATTAAAGACTATAATAGCTGTTCAAGATTAAATAACCACATGCTATTTGTTCCTGCTTCCAATAACTCTTACCAGATAAAGTGGTAATTAGATAGTAACTTTAAGTGGGAAAAGTCTATCTAACGTATATTTAGCGAATATATGCAAATAGGACAAAACCATCTCGATCATTGCTAAGGATAATATCGTATTTCAGATCAGATAAAATTATTCTGATGCTTGTATGAATTGTTGACTCAAAATATAGTATTGTGTTGTCTGGTTCAGACTACTGGAATGTTTTTGTTTTTGCCAAAGTGCCATATTGCATTGATTTATGTTACGTCTTGTTCACTCTAATGATGCATAGAAATCGAGAAGATAATAGAAAGGAGGAAGTAATGGTGATCCTGCATTTTTACATAAGACCTGACAAGGTCTTTTTTAGGATAATTGTGACCTACAAATACAGATTCTTATACTGTACCAGTATGATGACAAGATCTATGAAAATGTGTCCTGCTGGAACAATACCTATAGTATTTTATGGAATTACTTTAACAAAGTAGATAAATACTTGGGGAATGGGAATTCCATCTATATGCATGTACATGTTTTGACTTGGACTGTCAATAGATCAAAGTGGTTTAATATAGCTTTAGTAATTTAATTTCTCAATCGTTTCACCAATTTGTTTTCAAAAGAGTCAGCCACAAAAAAGCTAATATGAAGGATATGGGCAGTTGCAATGATAAACAAAAAGCATTTAGTGCAGTGGTTCTCAACCTTTTTAATGCCGCGACCCCCAACCAGTCGTAAGTCGAGGACTACTCAACCGGTTGTAAGTTGAGGACTACTCAACTGGTGCAGCACTGTTTGCAGAATGGGACTTTTGGCGGGATCAGCAGGGCAGAGACAGCCTGGACAATTCCTATTGGCTTTTGAAAGCCAATAGAATTAGACTCTATTCAAGAGAGTCTATTCTATTGGCTTTCAAAAGCCAATAGAATAAAAGGGAGTAGCACAGCTAAGGAAAAGGGGGGAAAAAATGACGGACTGCGTTGTTTGGTGACCCCCATAAAATGGTCGTTTGACCCCAAATGGGGTCCCGACCCACAGGTTGAGAACCACTGATTTAGTGACTGAATTTTTAAAAAACAAGTAACTATATCTCAGCAGCAATACTAGGTATCTCTTGTGCTTTTTCCTATTTAAAGAAAATCTATGGCTGACAAAGTAACATCTATAATTAGTTGAGACACCCAGTGCTCTTTTCAGTATTCGTTGCCTTGATCTCTATAGTTACTGTACCAGGTGAGACAGGAGAAAAGATGGAAACTGAGATGCACCATGTGATAATACCTGGGGCCTTAGAAACAAAAGAAGAAACCGGAGAAGCTACATTGGTCACGGAGATAGGTATGTTGATGGAATACATAAAAATGTAATATAATGGAATGTATTAAGAACACAATATGTTGCATTGATATTCTTATGTGTTCTACAGCAGAATTTCAGGTAGCAGCCAGCCAATTGATATGTACATTTGTGGGGATTTCTTTGACGAAGTATTTCAGAAGACATGATATGTATATTCAAAAGAGAATTAAAGGTATAGGATGAATCATAGATGGGATGACCTCGAAGTTAATATAGTCTAACCTCTTGTTCAGTGCACTACAATATCCCCGAAGGATGTCTTTCTGCCCTGTTTGAAGACCTCCAGCATAAAAAACACCACTTTATGTGACAGCCTGTTCCACTGATTACATATATTCAGAAATAGCTCTTCATATTTGGTTTAAATCTTTTCCCTTGTAGTCTTAACTTACTAGTTTTGGTCCTGCCCTTTCAGGCAATGGAGAACAGGTGAACCTCAACTTATGACTGCTCGCTTAGCGATCATTCAATTGAGCAACTCCCAGACTAGTAACAACCCAGATTCAAAGTTCCAGCAGCTGCTATACACGCCACCAACCCCACAGCCACATGAACTTTGTGGGTTCTCAGTAACCAGTCCACATTTATGGCATTTGCAGCGTCCTGCGGTCATGTGATCACAATTTACACTTTTTTTTAAATCAGAAACTGGCATTTAGGTTTCTGGCAAAAGCACCCATTGCAAAAAATAGGTTTACTTTCTAACCTACTTTACTTTTGCTTTTTGACTGCCACAAAAAGTCATAAAATCAGTCACGGTCACAATCTGCTTAATGACCAGCACAATGCAATGATCATAATTCACTCAATGCTCAGTAACACTCATAAGTTGATGTTTACCTGTATAAGTCCACTACTTCTTCTGTGTGACAAGTCTTTATTTGAAGATTGCTGTCATATTTCTCCTAATTTATTTTTTCTGTAATCTAAACATTCCCAGATCCTTTAACTCTTCCTCAAAATGCTTGCTTTCAAGATTCCTCACCATTTTCATAGCCTTTTTCTGAATTCATTGTTTTTTTGGAACTGGACAAAAATTCTAAATGATGTCTGAATAGGGTAAAGTAAATGCTACAGTTAAATCCCATGATCTAAGGTCTATGCTCCTGTTAATACATGATTTTTTTTTAAGCAGTGCAACACACTGCTGATTCATGTTTGACTTATGACTAGTTAGCCCTTTCAGATTTCCACTTTCCTATACTTGAATTTTTTCCCCCTATAATTCTTCTTCTTGTCACTCCCCTTCAAAGATTATTGTTGAAAAAAATGTTGAGCATAACTTTCTGCACCACAGAAAAGAAATACTGTAATGGTTGTAGGGGACACGCTTCATCAAAGCAAGCTGCAAGATGGACAGATTAAGCATTTGGTTCCTATACCCTCACCTTATTGTTCAGTCAGGTTCCTGTTTTATTTATTTATTTATTTATTTATTTATGAGACTTATATACCGCTTTAAGTGCAAGCACTCTCTAAGCGGTGTACACCAGTAAGCAATGTATATATATATATTACATTGCCCCCAACAATCTGGGTCCTCATTTTACCTACCTCGGAAGGATGGAAGGCTGAGTCAACCTTGAGCCGGTGAGATTTGAACCGCTGACCTGCTGAACACAGTCAGCTAAAGTGGCCTGCAGTACTGCACTCTAACTGCTGCGCCACCTCGGCTCTAAAAGGGAAAGCATTTAACATAGCCTTAAATCTTCTGATGTAAACCAATTAGCTGACAATAATAGGCTGGAAGAACTTGGAAGATAAGATGCTTAATTAAACACTCTTAATTCCATAGTTACTATTTGCCAAGCTTGTTTTATTAAGTATCAGATTATTGCTACAGCTTTGAGATTTCCCATCTTCATTCATCTGACTACCAGGAAGTCAAAGCAGGTAAAGATAAACAAAAAAGAATAAGCAAAAAGTTCTGTCCTTTAATATCTTTTTATTGTTCCTGACAGCAGAGGTTTCTTTCCTGAGACACTTTACAATTATTTCAGGGAGGAAAAAATGCTTTTTAACTGTCTCCCATCAAAGTACTAACTAGGATCCATGAGGGTTGGCTACGTGTTACCACAGTGCTGACATACACACACACAAAAATACATTTTTATTTCAAATTTCTTTTTAATGAACTAATTGTTTTCACTACTAGACTATCTTCTATCACTTCCGCCCTGAGCGAAGGAGTGATCTCCTTTACCTGGTGAAAGCATATAGTTGTCCAAGGTAGAAACTGGTTATGCTGAGTAGAAATGCTGGGGACAGTAGGGGTGGGGCTTTTGGGGGGGGGTACCTCCAAATCTGTGCTGATTCCTAGCAACTGCCTCAACAAGTCCCTGCCATTTTCTTGACAAGATTTCAGAAGTGGTTTGCCATTGAGTGTTTTCTAGGGATGAGGGAGAATGACCAGCCAGTTTTGTTTCTAAGGTGGGACTATAATTCAGTCTCTTGATTTTTAGTCTGTTGCCTTAGCCTTTACACCAAACTGGTCCTCTTTTAGAAATGTTTGGAGTGCTGCAAATTATCTGCCCTTGATCTAGTTGGATATCTAGCTTATCTATTCAGTTTTAGAATTTCTTCTGTCTGTTCAGTTTTAGGATCTAAATTCTGTTTTAGGATTCTGTTCAGGATCTCCATTTCCAATCTGAAATTTATCTTTTTAAAAGCTTATTCTATTGTTTTGGGTTTTTTTTTAACATAAAGAGCACTAGCAAATTTTCATGGTATGTGCACATACCTTTACTTCAAAAATCCTTCACCTAAAGATCTTTATCACTTTTTAAATTCTGGCTTTATATTACAGAACAAGCTAATGAAGAAGAATGACCCATGGCTTCTGGCTGGACTTCATGGCTAAACTTTATGGCTTCCGGCTAGACCTTATCCTTGATCGTTCGATTAAAATTTATATTCCTGTTTGACAGAAATCTAGTTTTTATAAAAGCTTGTATAGACTTATCACAACTATTGAATACTAAGTGAAAACCATTTTAATGAATTTTAATGGAAAAATCAAGTTGCCAAGGCACCACTGAGGAACTGCATTGTTAAACCATCACACCTGCCAGAAAGTGCCTTCTGCTATCGGTTCACTGGAACTACAAATTACAGAACACTTTTACTTGCTTTAGGTAGAAAATATGAAGGATAATATAGCACAAATAATATAAATTGTAAATGCAAGTATAGTTAATCTTAGATCTAAGAATTTATATGGTCTAAAATAGGGTGAAAATAACCAAATTCCAGTGGCGTTTTTGCAGTCATGGATTATTTAATTGCATTTAATACATTTCTTAGGTGAAGTTTCTTGTAAGCATTTTAGAATTGTAATTCTTATCTGGAAAGGGACAGGGTTAGGCTGATTTATAGTATTAATCTTATTTCTTTAATATGGTATAGGAAAGGAAATACAAATTGCATTTCCTGAAACTAATGAAAATAGTGATTGTGGTCCTCGAAATACTTAGATGAGCACTAGTATGAATTGTTGACATTTAAAAATTGGAGGAGATGTAATATAACCTACTAAAAAACAATTACCTTGCAAATGTCAGACTAAAAATGGAATAAATGATTGATTACAGTATTCTCTTAAACTATGCAACCAATAAAGTGAGCAGAGCTGTGCTTCACTTTTTCAGAAACAAATTTATTCTTTGCTGCTATTTGTGTGATATGGCTGGTCTCGTGCCTTCTCAAAAGTCTCTAAAATGTAATCTTAAACTTTAAAATAAATAATATATTTGTGGAATATGGTAATGTTGTCCAAATATAGGAGTCTATTTGGTAAATGTCTACAGGTTTTATATAAAACGTATTAAGACAATATTGTCTCCTGGGACCAGGGGTTGTAAAGAACAAATCAAGCTAGGCTAATTATTATTTTTTTTCTGAACTGATGATCTTGCTGCTAAACCAAAGGAACGATACGGATGGTGTGCAGTGTGATTGCAAAGCATCTGTGAAGTTGTCTCATGTATGTGCAGCTAAGATAAATAAATATGGTATTGCAGTCAGATGGACTTATAGCTGGATGACCTGCAAGCCCCAAAGGATGCTCATAAATTATTCTGTATTTTTCAGGAGGGAAAGTAGAGTGATGTTATTGGCTGGTGCTGTTCAACACATTTTTTAAAGACTCACAAGATGGAATGGACGGGAAGCTGATCAAATGATACAAAATTAAGGGGATTGACATTATGGACAAAGTCAACTATTCAAAACACTCAAATGCTGGACCAAATCCAATAGAAAGATCAGATGAATACTGTAGGTACAGGATTGGACAGAATTGATTTGGTGGGTAGGCATGTGAGATGCATCTAGGAATAACAAGGCCTACTAGCTGAACATGAGCAAATAGTGGTATAGCAGCTAAATAAAATACAATCTTGGTTGCATTAATAAAAGCATTGTATCCAGACCCTTTCTCTCACTTTTCCTCCCTCGTTAACTCCTTGACATGGTTGTTTTCTTTCAAAATTCTTAAAAGCGTCAATCAGTTGACCAATTCCTTGTTGATCAGGATTAAGTCAGGAGAGTTGACCTTGTTTCACCTACCTTCTGAAAAATTAAACTGTCAAAAAAGAGAAATCAAAAATTTGTCCCACTACTAGTTTAGTTAATTTTCCAGCAAATCTAGGATTACTTGGATAATTTTACAGGTAGTCCTCGACTTACAACAGTTCATTTAGTGACCATTCAAAGGTACAGTGGCACTGAAAAAAGTGACTTGCAACTGTTTTTCACACTTAACGACTGTTGCAACATCTCCATAGTTATGTGATCAAAATTTAGATGCTTGGAAACTGACTCATATTTATGACTGTTGCAGTGTCCCAGGTCATGTCCTCACTTTTTATGACCTTCTGACGAGCAAAGTTAATGGGGAAGCTAGATTCACTTAACAACTGTGTTACCATTTTAATACCTGTAGTGATTCACTTAACTGTGGCAAGAAATGTAAAATGGGCAAAACATCTCACTTAACATAAATTTTGGGTTCAATTGTGGTCGTAAGTCAAGGATTACCTGTATTTAGGAAGATATTGTCCACAACCTCTGGGAGATTAATAGTAACCTTCGGCAGTGATATCACTTCTGTTTCTTATGCTGTTCATCTTACCTGTATGCTTTGAATAGAATTTCCAATATTTATGAACAAGAATTCCCCAGGAATTTGTCACAAACAAATCCACTCTGCATCCCTTTCTGCCAGATCTGTGGTAGTCCTCAGTTAATGACTGCCCTGTTTAACGACCATTGAAACTTACATTGGCATTGAAAATATAACTTTACAACTTATCCTCAAACTTCCATTGCAGCATCTCCAGTCACCGGATACCATTCAGGCATTTGGCAATCAGCCTACATTTTAGACAGTTCCAGTTTCCTGCAGTTACAAGATCACTATTTGAATCTAAGAGACAGCTTCTGACAAACGACCAGTTGAGAAGCTGGCAGTCAATTTGCAAATCATAATCACATGCTATTCCACTTAATGACCACAAGTAATTTGCTTAACAACCAAAGCAGAATTGACATGTCCAGCATTGTTCCATGATGTTTCATTTAATTAGTTGTTGGTCTCAAGTGAGGACTATATTTGTTCATATGACAGTGTGGTATATTGATTAAAGACACTAGGCTGGAAACTGAGAGACAGTGAATTCTAATCCTGCCTTATGGTCAAATTACATGTAAGGACAGTATTAGTTTTCTGACATTTTGGCTAGCACGTCCCAGTTGCAACCAAAGCCCAGTTCTCCCTCACGCTATTCTATACAAGCTAGAATCTCTAAATTTGGAGACCATTTTGTAAACCAATATGCTATTGCTTGCGTATCAATAACTATGAGGTAGATGCAATAAAATCACGGGAAAAGTTGTGTAATATCAAACCCAGATTTTAGTCATGAAAACTGATAAAATGGTTCTCCTAGGGCAGGGGCAGGCAACCTCGGCTCTTTTATGACTCATGGACTTCAACTGACTCAGGAATTCTGGGAGTTGAAGTCCATGAGTCATAAAAGAGCCGAGGTTGCCTACCCCTGTACTAGGGAGTGTCTAAAAAAATCTTATCTTAATATTGCAAAAATAATTGATCATTAAAAAAAATAGGGTGCTTAGCAAAATACTAGCGCTCTGTTTAAAATGCCTATTTATCTGGAATTTGGTGCAAAAGTATTTGTAGAAACTATCCCATAAGATCAACCAATCACACAAAGAATTATACCAATTTGTTGCTGAGGAAAAAAACATTTGAATATTTCTGAATTGACATTCCAATTTGGACAGGCCAGCTGTTTTCCACTGTACTGAATTAGGATCCAAACTGAAACTTTTTAACTGAGCCCTAAACCTGACTATTAGAAGATTTACTCAGAAAGCCCAAACACACTTTTACAACAGAGAAAAAAAAATGTTATGTAATTAACCGTTTTCCTTCAAAAGCCAATTATATAAATACTACACAAATTATATAACTGGTAATTTTAACAGCTAATTTTCTCAAAAAAAAAAGCCAAAACTGATGTTATCAACACTGATCAGTGTTACAGCAATTTGATTTATTCTTCATACATTTTTCTTCTAATGTTTTTAAAATGCACAATTCTGCTTAATGTAATACACAGCTAGAGGTTAATCTGACTCCCAAATTTTAAAAAATCTACTCTATGAAAATATGTCAAGTTTATCTGAAGAGTTCTATTGCTTTTTCTCTCAAAATATGCTTTTAAGCAGCTTGCAGTATTTAGTCTGGTAGTCTCCTTCACTCATACTATACTCCAATGTTTCTCAACCTCAGTGACTTTAAGATGTATGAACTTCAACTCCAAAAATTTCCCAGCCAGCACACATCTTAAAGACACTGAGACTGAGGACATTGCCATACCACGAATAAACAGACAGTCTTAATGGTACAGTGGTGCCTATGAGTCAACCTGCTCACCCAAATACACCTAAATGAGTCAGATTCACAATTCAGGAATGAACATGATTTGAAAAATTAGTAGAAAAACTGAATCCTATAGATAGTGAGAATGACCATGGCAAAAAGAAATCAGAACTGCTAGATTTTAGCTTGTGAGGCATCTTGAAGGGGCCCCAAAATGGCAATAGCTTCAATCTCCACACAGGCACCCTGAAAGGAAGAAATATAACATATAAAATCAGGGCAGAGTCGGTTTGTTTAATGTAGGGCTCCTCAAACTCTTCAGCTCATTATGTTTTAGATCAGCGTTTCTCAGCCTTAGTGATTTGAAGAGGTGTGGATGTCAGCTCCCAGAATTCTCCAACCAGCCTCACTGGGTGGGGAATTCTGGGAGTTAAAGTCCATACCTGTTCAAGTTGCCAAAGTTCAGAAACAGTTTTTTAGATTATTCATTGACCACCGCAGAGATTTAAAATATGAAAACAATAAATGCTATTTTACTATAAATAGTAATAATATGAAGAACATTGTCAAGCACTGGAGAAATCAGGAAATCCAAACAGTTCAAATGAATATAAACGATTATTGCAAGCTTAAGCTCTAAACAAGAACCTGAACTACTAATGGTCAAAGCAAATTGGCAGAAGATAAGATTGAAATGGAATTCAAGATGAGTTGGACTTAGTTCTCTTGTGGCCGGGAAGGGACTAAAGAAAGTTGGTGCATTTGATCCACCCCTCGGCCTCAGCCTCGTCATCTCCTACGAACAGTTGATCCCTTGGACAGTCCCATCAACGTTTGGGGGTCATTATTGACTACTTTGAAGAACCCTGGTTTAATGTATTTAATTCGAATTCATTTAATATGAGTTTACAAGGACAGTAAACCCTAAATTAATCAATCTCTCCTCTCACAAAATCACAGTAATATGCAAACCAAATCAGTAAAACATAAATGGTGACAATTATGCTCCAGAAGCCCTCCAGAAAAGCTTGGTTGCATCAGTTTCTGAAGGCTGTTATAAAAGAATCAATCTCCCTTCTGGGAGAGGCTCTACCATCACCAAAATGTAACATTTTCTGGCCTCAGGTCCCCTTAGTTCATGAAAATGGGACATCGCTACTAGTTTCTCCTAGAAGACATCTCAGACTGGCACTACATGGAACAAGCGTTCTGAACATATCTTGGTACCAAGCCATATAGGAACAACCTGCCTCCAGAAGCTGTGAATGCTCCAACACCGGAAGTTTTTAAGAAGAGACTGGACAGCCATCTGTCCGAAATGGTGTAGGGTTTCCTGCCTGAGCAGGGGGTTGGACTCAATGACCTCCAAGGTCCCTTCCAACTTATTATTATTATTATTACTATTATTATTATTACTATTATTATTATTATTATTATTGTCAAAACTAGCATTTCAAGCTACACTTCAAATTTTACTGGCAACTATTGAGGGTCTGCAAAACATAATAATAATTTCAAAATAACAAGGACTACTTAATAAGTGCTATTAATAAGTTGAACCAAATAATAAGTTGAACCAAATGCAGCTTCTCTATGGACTTCAAAGGTAACCTATAAGTTTATTACAGAAGTTCAATCAGATAGTGGTAAATAAGGGCATGAGTCACTGTAGCCAAGTCCTTCCATTCCAGTCACGTACATAGCTGGCATACCAGCTACACATCCAGCAGAACTATGAATCAGGGTTGAAGACCTGCTTGCTAAGGAGCAGTGCCACCACCTTCAAAAACCTCAGAGCTAACAAAGGAAGATGAACAACAGCAACTTCATCTTTCTTGGGTTCAATTTTAACTTGTTTTGACCCTCCAGTTTCCAGGTCCTGGGACATAAATTTAGCATTTATAGCCAGATTTGGGATAGCAAGATAAGGCTAAATATCATCAACATATTGATGACACTGCATGTCAGACCCCAACACAGCTTATCCAAAGAGCAGAGGGCATAGTGATCCATCTGAGTGCACCAATTTGGTTTCCTCCCCATTTTTCTATCTCTTCCCCGACCCAAGTTTATATGGATTTAATCCCCTCTTTGCTGGTGAAAATCCATGTGTTATCCCATGGTGGTATTGTAATAACAGAAAATATTATGTCTTGTGCAAATTACAGGAACTCTGTTAATTCAAATGAGAGGATACAGAAAGACAGCAAGCGATCTCTGAATAAACACGGACAAGACTGCACTGATAATAGAAGTAGCTGGTTTCTTAACTTCCAAGTTATGGTTAAGAACATAACAAAAATGCAGAAAAAGGCTTGCCTTTTTTCTAATCTGGAAAACATTAAATTCCCAGATTTTTAAAGAAATAAGAATTGATACTTACCTTTGGAAGAGCTACAACCTGATAAGCAGCTCTGGCTGGAAAGTTGCACTTGAAAACTATATGGAGTAGATAAAGAGCTTCAATTAATAAATGACTGCACAAGTAGAGAACTGTGTTTACCTGAACTATATTAAATAGCAAG